GATGCTGACGCGGATACAGGCCTCAGGGATGATGCTGACATGGATACAGGCCTCAGGGATGATGCTCTCTGGACCACAGACCTCAGGGATGATGCTGATGCGGATACAGGCCTCAGGGATGCTGACGCGGATACAGGCCTCACGGATGATGCTGACGCGGATACAGGCCTCACGGATGATGCTCTCTGGACCACAGACCTCACGGATGATGCTGACACGGATACAGGCCTCAGGGATGCTGACGCGGACACGGGTCTCCCGGATGCTGCTCGCTGGACCGCGGCCCCCCTGGATGCTGCTCCCCCGGCCCCCGGCCTCCCCGCCCCCCCGGGGGTCACCCCTCCCCCGCCCGGGGCCGCCCAGGGCCTCGGGGACCCCGGGGAGGACAGCGTGTCCGACCTGACGTGCCTGGAGGCGATGAGGGCCGAGGAGGCGGCCTACACCGGGGACCCCGGGGAGGACCCGCCGGGGCCTCAGTTTCCCCGCGGCGTCTTCACGGGCTTCCAGACGGCCGGCGGGAGGCGGGTTCAAGTCCCGCCCGAGGCCCTGGCCCGGGCCAGGCGGCTGCTGGACCAGGCCGGGGGAGCACGGCCGGAGGGGCGGGAGGAGCGGGAGGACGGCGGCCCCGGGAGCAGCCGCCCCCAGCCCCCGCCGCCTCCCCCCGGGCCCTTCGCGGGCTTCCGCACGGCCGGAGGCCGGAGAGTGACCGTGTCCCCCCGCGCCCTGAGCCGGGCCAGGGCCCTGCTGGACGAGCCCGCGCCCGCGCCCGCCGCCGTGCTCCCCCGGCCCCGGGTGCTCCCGGGACGCCGCCCCCGGGACGAGGCCCCCGGGGCTCCTCCCCGTCCCGGGAGGACGGAGAGGGCGGTGGCGGCCGGGGCGCCCCCTCCCGGGAGGACCGCGCACAGGGAGCACGGAGAGGACCGGGAGCACGGAGAGGACGGGGAGCGGACGGGCCCGGGGGCCCCGAAGAGGAGAGGCGAGGACCCGCCCGGTGAGCACGGGGGTGGGGGGAGGGCGTGGGCTAGCCTGAGGCCAAGGGTGAGGGGCGTGGGCTAGCCTGAGGCCCAGGGTGAGGGTGAGGGTGAGGGGCGTGGGCTAGCCTGCGCTCGCCCGTCCTCGCTCAGGTCAGCCCCCCAGCAAGAGGAGCCTGCTGAGCGCCTCCCCCAGGACAGCAGGGAGCACGGAGAGCACGGCAGGGAGCACGGGGAGCAAGAGGAAACGCCTGGGGCCCTTCACCTGCAGCCCCGAGGGTGAGCGCCTGTGACCCTCCTCCCTCCCCTCCTCCCTCCCCTGTCCTCCTCTCCC